TGACCCTTTGGAGGGGCCTGGCCTTTAGGTTGATAACCACCGATCTAAAGTACCTGACTAAGTATTTAATTTAAAGTTGCACCACCATGACCAACTAAAACAGTAGAATGCCATACACATTGATGCATCAATATTAACAAAAATACATCTTGTAATGTAGTATCACTCACAGGGGCCCTATTCTTTAGTACTTATTTTACATTATAAACATACTTACATTACATTACAGTCATTTAGCAGACGCTTTTATCCAAAGCGACTTACAATTCAGATTCTATCACATTTCTACACCGTAGGCACAGCTACGGGAGCAATTTTGGGGTTAAGTGTCTTGCTCAAGGACACATCGACATGCGACGAGCAGAGCCGGAGGTCGAACCGCCGATTGAAGGACGGCCCTGCTATCCACTTAGCCACAGTCGCCCCAGCCACTTACTTGCTGGTAATATTGTATTACCTTAGATTGTTGTATTTGTACTGTGCTCTGAACATTTTTTTCCACCACTGTTCACTTTGAAGGATTTCTAAAAGCATAGAAAAGAAAAGGCCATCTGACGAGGAATGGTAGAAGACAGCACTGCACACTTGCGTTCGCCACTTCTCCTCTGAAGTCCCTTCGATAATTAGAAGGCTGAAGTTAATTGATTGTTTTGGCTTCCCATTCGCGTCAGGAGTGAATAATGTTCACTGTGTAACAAACTTTACTCGAGCGATGTTTCTTTAAAGTGAAGTCAGTTCACCCCATCATTCCACTTAAACTGCCGAGCCCTCCCCCACCTCCCCCTTTCCTTACCCAACCTCAAACCACACCCGAGTGAAAATCCATATAACAGCAGAAATTGCAGGGCAAATGTCTTTGAGCCACGCTGATTAAAAGACCCAACAACCTCATTTCAAAGAGAACGTAAACATTGTTATGAGCACACCGCCTGCAGTGACTCACTCCAAACTGTTATTACATCTAACTCATGAGGCCGCGCAGCGTTTCATCTTCCTGCGGTTTTCAGCAATGAGATAAGCCCCGAGATCGCTGAGGTAAGCTAAGTGGCCTTAAAAGCATCCCTAAGCGGTTAATAAGTATGTACTAATGACCCCCAAACACGTCTTATCAACATAAAAGCCTGATAACGCTGCAGGATTGAAAGGTTGAAGTGGTGTTTTGATTCACAGACTCATAAATCTGCAGCTGTCAGAAAAAATGAGAGTAGGTTTCCTGGACTGTTGCAACATGCAGGTATTGAGCCAGGTGTTTAACAAAACACATCAACCTTTTAATCTCTGGAACTTTGTCTAGTGCCAATTAGCAAATGCTAGCATGCTACCATGCTAAACTAAGTTGGTGAACAATATACTAAGCATCAACCAGTTAGCATAGCTGAGCACAAAGACTGAAAACAAGGGGAAACAGTTAGCCTAGCCTTTTCTGTCCAATAGTAGAAAAAGGCGCCAACCAGCACACATCTAACACGTTTGTAGTACATATTTACCGTACAGAGTACAGGAAGTTTATGAGTATAAAGCTAAACAAACTACAAACACTTTTTTGACAGTTTATTATTTTACAGATCAAAGAAAGAAGATATCATTTGGTTTTTAGTGAGACTTAGAGGAGCTGTAGGCCGATTTTGTTAACTTCGAACAGAGTCAGGTTAGCTGTTTCCCTCTGTCTCCAGTCTTTATGCTAAGCTAAGCTGTTGTCTGTAGCGTCATAGTGAGAGTGTATACTGTATATAATGTTGTCATCTAACTCTATGAGCAAGAAAGCCAATAAGCATATTCCCCAAAATATCAAACTATTCCTTTAAATTTAAGTTTGTTGCCTTTAAAAGTCTGTGGAGTTCTTCTCAAAGCAGTCAAGAGGAAAATGGTCAAGGTCGGTCACGTATTGGTTGCTCCCTTGTGTTCAATTAATTACAGCGCTTTTCTAAATGTCCTCATCTGATGGAAAATCACTTCAGGTGATGTTCAAGCAGTAAATTAGCTTGTGGCTGAAAAGCAACCCAAATCAGCAGGGTATCTTTCCTGGGATAGCCACGAAGTTTAAGGATGGGGTCAGCGGGATCATCCAGGGAGGAGGCTAAAGTAATGACACAAGTGAGAGACAAAGGCGGGGGCAAAGAATGAAAAGAAAAAGAAGAGAGGAGCCATTGTGCGCTTGAGCAGACCTCCTTAGACTTAATTACCTCTCATCCATTTTCATTCAGCCTTCTCACGATAACGCAGGGGGAAGGGCCCATGCTGTGGAGGATAAACAGAGGACTAATGAAGTCATGGACAAAAAAAACAAACATTTAAAAACACCAAGAGATACAACAGAATATTGAGCTACTGGAAACAAACAACAGTAAGAATCCCAGCTTCCAAACCTCAGAAACGTCTCTGCAGCCAGACATCTCTCTGTATTCCACTGCAGGTGAAAGGTAGCTCCGATAAAGGAAGGTTTTGAAAATCTGAAGGTATCAGTGCCTCGCGTGGCTCTTTCTTTAGCAGTCCAGCAGATGCTATTTCTTCCTCAATGTGTTATCTCCTGAGTCCAGATAAGCAGGCTGTAGGGCTTTTGAAAAGACAGTAAACTTTCTTTGAAATAAGGCATTTCAAAGCAAGTAAAACATTCAAATTAACTCTGAGGAGAAATAGAGATAAGATTCAAGTGAAATCAAAAGTAAAGTTAACTTTGCCATAAGAAGAAGATCTTTGCTTTAAATTCCATTTCAGGACATCTGACAGCGACACACTGGCGGCCCCTGACTCAGTCTCCTTGCCTGAGGCGGATTGGTCCTTCGCTGCCCGCCTGAATGCTGATGTAACTCAGAGGTCAGAGCGATCACGGCCCACTGGATGGCTCTCTCATTTCGAAAACATCCCTGACATGATCACGGTGTCTGTGTGTGTGTGTGTACTGTATGTCTGGAACGGTTGAAAACCAGCTCCACCCTGCATGGTATGATTTTTCTGAGCTCAGGAGCTCACCAGGCTTCTTCAGCTTTGTATCAACCTACCTGCACCTCCACCCAGCTGATGAAATCCTCAGGGATATGGTCTCTTCTTCCCGGATCTGTGTAATCGTATTTATATGCAATCTAATGACAAACTATTTAAAAGCTATGCAATCTTTTTGCTCAACAAAAGTCGTCAAGTGCCAACCTAATAACTTTGATTTATTAAAGAAACAGTCTGAAGATATTCTATATTTTTCTTCAACAAAACCTCGTAAAAGACAAAAACCAAAGATGAACTGATCCTAGTAGGTATCTGTATCGTGCAAGTAAACAGTATTATAGCCACAGGTCTTGAGAATAAAGTCAAATATTTTTATAAAAAAAAGTCTGTATGTTGTTTTTAAAGATTTACATCCTCATAGGAACCAGTGAGCTCTGTGCTGAGCGCCGCAGGCAGAGAAAGAATGTCGTTACGTTTTAAAGTGACAGACAGGACACGTTACTGGGTTTGGTCTTTTCATGGGACAAAAAACTAAAACATTACACCAGACTTATCCTCAAAGACTTGTTCTGGAAAAAGTCAACCTTCATTTTCAGGGATATATTATGTTGAATAACACGATAAAAACATTAGAATGTTTGGTTTTATATTTTGCTATTCGTCTTAGCATAGATAGCGAATAATGCTGAAACGGCTTTTATTGATATCTTATCCTTTTCTATAATTGAATATTATTATTTCTTCTAAATCTAGACATGATAGATAACCACACTCATGCTGACGGTGTAGTGTAAGGACATCTGCAACTAATTTGAAATGTATCGTCTCTGTCTGTATTTGTTCCTGTGTGTGTGTGTGTGAGTGTGTGTGTGTGTGTGTGCGCTCGCATGACTGAGTTGCGGCTAATGCCTGTGTTGCCAGGCGACGGTGACATGTAGGTACATTGTTTTTCATCACACTCAGCCACACATACAGACTGCCCACACACAAACTACTAGACTTTAGTCTGTTCAGCCAAGCTCTGCATAAGCTAACAGCACCCAAAGGATTCACAGTGTTGAAGGGTTGATCCATCGGCGTATATTCCGAGGAGGGGGTGGTGGGTGGATAAGACCTACTTCCTGGCGGACAGGAAATTCAACTTCCTGTCTTGATTAATGGGGGGACTGTTGGATCACACAGGGGCGCCGAGGGGCCTCCCACACACAGAGCTCCCACATTTCACATTGCATGTCAACCCTTTTTTTTTCTGCGCTGGTTCTCAGCAGGAGAATGCTTGAGAAAACTCATCTTGTCACTAAGTTATCTTGAAATAATGCAGATAAGATTTTTACCAGCTCATAACAACATGTCAGTAAATGTTGTGACAGTGAAATTAATTGCTGTTTATTTCTCAAGCCCCCCCCCCCTGTGTATGGGTGTATTTTGTTTGTGAATGCACGAGGGTCTGGATCCAGTAAAACTGGTGGTTCTCAACCTCAAGTCGTCTTGTCAGGGCGAAGAATGTAAACACTGAACAGGCTCCTCAGAGTTGGAGGAATGCAGCAAGTGGCCGTGTGCTCTGCAGTCACTCACTAATGAGATGTTCGACTTGTTACAAACCAGAGAGCGACAAACGAACCACTTTGCAATGCATTTCACTGATGAAAAGTGTGAGAGGAAGTGAGAGGGGAGGCAGGTCAGGGAGGGGGGGAGGAGGAGAAGAGAGAGAGGGGTGCTTTTTAAGATTTCATGTTCTCCTCCAGCCCCCACAGTTTGCAGATAAAGGTTGCCGTTGCCAGGGTGACTTGACAGAGAAAGGGAAAGTATCTGGCTGTGTTTCGCCTGTTCTTTTGCAGGAAGCTTAGAAGCCAGAGGCACAGATAAGATGATTTCAGTCCCTCCTCCACAGAACAAAAGCTGTATGCATGATATACTGCCTTTAATACCTCAGGACACTTTGGCTGCTGTTTTCACTCCAAAGCTGCCTAAATATGCGAAACATGCCATAATGAGAAAGCACCCCTGTGCTGCGCTGAAGCTTGAAGTTATCGCCACACTGAAGACAAAGACGCAAATGCTTTTACAGTCAAGAGGAAAAAACTCTTATGTTTATTAGCCATGAATTTCACATTGTGAAAAAAATCACATGTACAAAATAATGCCATAAAAAATAGAAATTAAACTCTTACATGACAAAAGATAAATGAAACCGATGCACATTGACAGTTTTCTGTCTAACTTACATCATTATACTAGGCAAAGATACTGCGCTCCAATCAGAGGCAGCTGGAGTTCCAGATAAAAACGGAGGATGAGCAAAGGTTAAGAGTAGAAGTGGGAAATGCCACTCGGCAATTAGGTGCAAATTGAAGGGGCATTCATTACTCGCTGTTGCCGGGGAAACTTGCTTTCTATGGGAGATAAATGCTCCTATCTGATTGGTGGGGCCAAAGGGTCCGTGTTCAGTGGTTGGAGGAGGTCAACATTATGGAGCCCCGAGGGTCTCCACAGAGGTCCTGAAATTGCCAATAAAGGGATGAACTTTTGGGTGGCTTAAGGAGCTGAGCAGGAATTTACAGAGCTGTTTACCAATTTTTCCCAACAGATTGTATTTGTTTAATGAATCCACATGGAAGGACATTTGAAAAAAAAAAAAATATATATACATATTCCACTAAACATTACCCCTTACATTGAAATTCAATGGTTTCATTAATATTCAATTGTAAACCGTCAATATTCAGGTCACATTGACAGACATAGAGACAAAACACTGATTAGACTCACCAAATATTTCATATGCAAGTGTTTAAGACAATCTCTCTTTTTGGTCTTTAGGAGCTTGCAAATTTTTTTTTGTGGATCATTGACACTATGGTGAAAAGCACTGCGGTGTCTGCCCTTATCAATGCACAGCTTACTGGATTCAACTCTTTCTCAACCAAATGGTGAAGAGGACTCTGGGTTAACACCCTGAAGAGCCACGTTTGCACATGTGACAGTCCTCCAGCTGTCCCAAGGACAGCGGCAAAGACTGTCACATTCTTAACCATGTCAGGGTTAGTTACTGGGCCACATACTGCACCGTTCCAGCAGCCTTATCTGTTTTATGGTTGATAATCTTCTTGTTTTGTTGGTACAGTTAGGGCCCCGACGTGAGGATTTAAGACAGGTTTGGACCCAGGATAGAGATTAAAGAGTATCTTTAAGAAAAAAATGTGAAAATGTCTTTCACCCCATTCAGCCTTCTTACTTGAGCAGCGACCCTGTGGCCTAAACTGCTTCACGCCGTCAGTAATCCGATTAATTCTCCCTCCCTCATAAATACTCTGTGAGAGGTCCGCCTCCGTCTCTTGTGAAAGAAGTTAAAGTTCCTCCTGGGAAAGACTGAACTGTGCAAAATGCAGCCCAACTAAGATCAAATAAAACACAACACCTGGCCATGCAAGACACAACCCAAACATACACATAATGCAGGCAGAGAAGAAATAAATAGGATTAAACATATTAACATAACAGAGTAAGCATTGTCATATAAATTAAGACTACATTGCAGCAAGTTTAAAAAGAAACTGATTTGTTCTCAGTTTAGATTAAGGTGACAAGATTTCTGTGACTACAGAGAAGAGTTCATGCCGGTTGTTACTGAATCACGATGAGTGGACATGCTCTAGAAAGGGTTCAGCTATGACTCAGCGAGCGAGCAACTGCTTTTATCAGAATAACAGAAGCGCAGCCAGGCTTATACTGCATTAAGTGTACAGCTGAATGTGATTGTGTTCTTTCTGAAGCGCTGAATCCAAACACTGAATACCGCCCCTGTGTACAGTGGGTTAGTTAACCGGCGCTCAGTGGGCGTTAATGCGTAGCTGCAAAACAGCAAACATATAAGGTTGTGACCCCTCCTCCATCCTCCTCAACCTCAGCTGGTGTTGGTCGTCAACACTTCGCGGCTTGCAGTGACAGCAAACTGCCAAAGCCTGAGGAACACACTCATGGGTTTGTTTCTTTGTCAGAGCTGTGAGAAGCATGTCTTTGAAAGAAGAAGAAATTAGTCACAAGGGGTCAAACATAAAAAGCTTATTAGAGAAGAGAAGGTGGAGATTTGCTCCTTCATTGTGTCTTTTATAAATCAGCTACATTCAGTCAAACTGAGTTCTGTTCTTTAGCACACCAATCATTGCATTCTCCCTCCATCAATCTAAATAGAACATCCATCATGCTATACATTGCAGCCTCGATGAAAAAGAGTATTTTTTTTCTTCTTTTTTTTTTTACCATAGAGAAAAACATCAACACAGATCCTCACAAGCCCGTCATGACTAATTGGGAAAAATGCAGGATGTGCGATATGTTTGCAGTCCTCATATGGCAGCATGAAAGCACAAGCCTAATATGCCAGATGTACACAAGGTTGGAGTTTGTGCCTCTTATAACAAGCAGCGGTTTGTTTGTTTTTTTTTTTTTTTGCGGGATCTACTGCACGGTATGCCTCTGCTTCCTTCTCGGAAATGAGAGACGACATCATTTCAGTGAAGTGTCCAGCGCTTTTGTCCAGTTTCTGCATCTTTGCGACATCAAGATGAATGCGGGTGTCTGTACATCACTGCTCGGTGTCTCTGAGGAGAGGAAGATAATGTGTGCTACTTCACAGTTGGAGTCCAGTAGATGAAGCAAAAAAAGGGAAATCTGAAGGAGAGGAGAAGAAAGAATAGCTTGTTAAATGGGCAAATAAGATGGCAGAAAGCGAACAACGCTCAACAGTTTAAAGGTGGATTTTTAATTATTCAAAGTACAAAGGAAGCCTAAAAACAGAAAATAATACACATCTTGGGAAACGAGGCTCAGGCATAAAGCTCCTGAAACCTTTCGAAATTTTAGTTCCTGCTTTCTTACGTTACAATGTAAAAGTATTGCTCTATCTCCTGCTAGACTCTTAGATTGACTCTTAGACTCTGTTTCCTCAGTGCAGCCCTTCATCATCTTCTTATCTCGCCATCAGCCTACTACATTTTTCACAACTGAGTGTGTTTTTCTCTCAAAATTTCACTTTGACCTATCCATTTTTAAAATCTTTAACTTGATATGTAGGCCTACTTATCTGTACGGCACAGATGGTTCCAGACTTGGCAGTCCTCTGTGTGTCTGATGGGAATTTAATAACACCAGCTATCTCTGTTTGGACGTGGGTCTTTCCCTTACTGTCGTTGCCAGAAGATGTACATGTGATGAGTGAATATTGAAACCTTGAGGAGCACTTTCTACCCCCAGCAGCAATATGGGTAGGAGAGAAATGTCTTGCACTGGATTCTAGTTTGTTTCAAGTTGGCATTTAGCGAAATGCATTTATTCATGAATCAAACTGGTTTTAACGGTGAGGCGAGCTCACAATTACTCTTTACTGCCACTGGTGCATAACTCCATGCTCTCACTCTTACACTATGCAAAAACTAAAGATATCTTTTCAAGGACTAGTTAAACATTTAGGGACATGTGCTTATTTTCTATCTTGCAAAGAGTTAGATGAGAAGATTAATACCACTCTGTCAGTACACGAAATATGAAGCTACGGAGTGCAGTTGCCTGTAGCTTCATAATTAGCATATAGACAAAAGAATGTTATCTATCTTCAAAGCAAAAAAACTGAATATGTGTATTTCCCATAAAAGGAAAATGATTCCCGTAACACTGTGCACATGCCATACGCGTCTGTCTTTTAACTGGAACCATTTAAACTGCCATGGGAATTGGAAACCAGATGAAGCTGATCAGGTTACTTTCGACCAAAATGTGTGTAGGGACTGACTCATCTGTTGTGATGTTACATTAGTTATTTCAGTCATTTATTCTGCAATTTCGTTATTTAATATGAATATATTCTGTTGGTTTCGGTTACTTTCCTGTGTGTAAGTAACTATTAAATATCTAAAATCACAAGTCATCCTGAAATATGGCTACAATATCAGCATGAAGAAAGGCAGTAAAAAATATCTGCGTTATTTGATTTTCTCAGTACCTACTGAACGCTTTCTAGGGGGGAAGAAATCTAAATGTTAGACTTTGTATTGCTCCCCTGGGAAAAACTGAGAGAGAACTTCTTCTGTCTCTCACAGCTACAATCTCCTTCTGTGAGGTCTTACATACTTCCTTCCCCTTTCATTCCTAAACAGTCAGTCTTCTTTTCCATTCCTGCACATTTCGTCTTTTCACTGCGTTCAGTGAGTAAACTGTCAGTTGCCATGACAGGCAGGCGCGCTAAAACCAAATTCTGTATCAAATTAGTGGCAGGATTATATCCTTCACTGAACACTGTGTTGCACTGGCTTAGAGATAGTGAAAACCTTCAGTCTAGTCTCTACTTCTCAGAGATGAGTCACCGAAAAGAAAGGGAATAATAAGTCTTAACAAATATTTCATCCCGTGGAGAGGAAGAACATCCTATTATCGCAGCAGTGAAGCTGCTCTGAGCTGCTTCCTGGCATTATCAAATGGGAAACTGTGCTGTGCTGGACAGCTGGGGAGTCACTCTACTTCTCTCCTTGGCTTTCTCAGGAGCTGAGGGCCCCCAGCCCTTTCAATAAACACAGCTAAATGAAAAAGACTGCCTGCATGGGTATGTGTGGGGACATCAGTGTAGGGTGAAGCGATTGTACAATGTGATGTGATAGTGGGCCTGCAGCATGGAGAGAGATCAGCCAAGCTGACTAGCCTTGCTACACACACGTCTGGCCTGTTTAACATCAGAGCATGGAGAGCAGGGTTAGAATGAGGTAAAGAAGATATAGGTGGAGTCACAAGAAACTGTAGAGTTCAGCAGGACATTTTAAGCGTGAGACCACCACTATCAAGGCCGATGTGTGTCTGACTGCTCTCTAGCCCTACAACTCTCCCTGCTGCCACTTCTCTCAGTCACCTCCACTTGCAGCCCATAATAAATGGCTTCCGGCGCTGCGTGAGTCGCGGGCTGCCTTCCCTCTCGCCCAGCGTAAAGACCATGACCTCGTCAAAGGAAGGCGACTGAGAGTGGATCAGCCTCACCAGGGCGTTGTAGCCTGCTGGTGTGTGGCTTGTCTAATTGGCAGACCCCCCTTTTTTCTATGAGAGGGATTTCCCCTACAGGAGCAATAAAAATATCCTATTCTCTTTCAATTACCCTCTCTGTCCTTCGGCCCATCCCCACAGCTACATAACTCACTTAACTAACGCACACAAGCCCCTATCCATCCCCCCACCCTCCCTCCTCTAGTGCACTGTCCTCTACTTATCCTGGCAGTAGTTCAAAAAATTTCAAAGCTTGAAAGACCCGACAAATGCATATGAGAACCTGATCAATACTGGGTATCACAGATTGTCAGAATTGACCATATATATATTAACAGATTTGCAAATACAAATTGCAGTACATTTCTGGGTTCCATTTTTGACCTTGTGTTGTGCTAGTGGAATGTAATGTAGCCTTGAGTCGCTAGCCTCATGCACAGATTCTGAGCGAGCTACAGAGGTCTGGGATGCTCACTTAGTTTTTTTTTAATTTTCAAACTTGTAGTCTTCAGACCCGTCTTAATACAACTTTCTTTCACATATGCAGTCTTCCAAAGGGTCAAACTTACCTAATGGAAAGAGTGTAGGTAGAGGGTTTGGGGCTCATGCAGGCAGATGTTTCCAGGTGCTGACGAAAGCAGTGGGAATGAGCGAGTATGGCACAGTAGTGATGCTGTTCCAAGCATCCAGCACGGGGTCATAGCAGTCCAGAGTTTTACACCGCTGTGTGCCAAAGTACCCACCCACCACATACAGTTTGTTCCCCGATGCCACAGCCTGGCAGCTCATCCGCTTCGCCGTCACGTCACCCACTTTAGTCCACTGGTAGCTCTCACTGCTGAACTTATAAGCCGAGCATGCTGAGAACTCTGTGTCCCCACCCATGACAAAGATCTGGTTTCCCAGCACGGCAGCGGCTGTGTAGCGCCACGGCTGCGGGCAGGACGCGGGCACAGACCATCGGTTCTCCTGCGGATCGTAGCACTGCACCTTGGGTAGCTTGTCGTGGGTGACGCTGGTTCCTCCAAAGGCAAAGAGCTTGAGCTTGACGCTGACCACTGCTGCATTGCTTACACCCTCTCTCAAAGGAGCCACCATGGTCCACTTGTTTGCCACTGGGTCAAACTGCTCCACCTGTTTGAGTGATACAGATGGAGAAGCTGGGAGGCAGCCAGTTGCTGCCGTGTGACCTCCTACCACGTAGAGGCAGTGTTTCAGCTCTGCAGAGCCATGGCCGAACCTGGCAATGAGCATGGGCGCTGCCTTCGACCATTCCTCATGGACAGTGTCGTAGACCCACACATCTTTGGACACACCATTCTCTGAGCCTCTCCCACCAGTGATGTACACCTTACAGCCGATGGCGCAGGCACTGAACTCCTTCCTGGGGCTGGGAATGTCAGCCTTGGGGATGATCTCTTTGGCTTTCTGGTCCACAAGGTACAACTTGTCACACATGAAAGTCTGCCCTCCCAGAAGAAATAGGGCATGGCTGGTCTTTCTTGGTCGGGCACACGGGCTGTTAACTACACCGTCATTCTGCAGGATCTTCAGCTTACATCGGATAGCTTCATCCACCAGCTCCTTGCTCTTGGACTGGGAATTGATCAGCTCTTCTGTCGAAACATTCTCCATGAGAAAGATGGCAGGCAACAGGGCCAGACGGACAGTCCTCAGGAGCTCCGGAAGGTGGCAGTGTCTCTTTTCCAGGTCATAGTTGATCCAGTTAAGGGCAGCTTCATAAACCAGTTTCTCATCTTCTGTCTCTAGCTCCTCGTGTGACAAAAGCTGCACCACCATATCTTTGGGCAGTTGGAGGAAGTCTTCTGTCTTGCAAATAGCGGGGAAATTGCTGAGGCACATGCCCCAGGAGAGCTCTGACAGCTTGGTGCACTGGTGGGCATCAGACAGCAGGAGCATGCCAAGGCAATTAGACGGGTGAAGGTTTCTCTCTAGGAATTCGGCACAGGCATCCCGGATGTCCTGAAACTCTAGCATGTCCCCAGCTTCCAATAGGGACTCTGCATTTTCCTCGTTGATGACCACACGTGACGAGTATGCATAATCAAGCAGGAGCTCTAAAACCTCCGGGTGGATGGAGCCACGGAAGTCGACCTCGCTGGCCTGGCTCTCCCTCAGCCCACCGCTGAACATGGCCTCAAAGTAGCGGCTGCAGGCAGCCAGCACGGCGCGATGGCACGGGAAGGAGCGGCTACCTGCATGAAGCAGGACGTCTGTGAAAAGCCGTTGCTGCCGCAGCGAGTTGAGGTGCATGAGAACACTGTCCGCATAGGAGGACTTGTGGAACAGGTAGATGTTCATAGAGCCAGTGCTGGCTCGGGATTTTCTGTTCTCATGGACACACACGGACATTTTCATTGAATCCTGAAAAAGAAAAGACAAGAAAAATCTCTCTTTAATGTATTTCATATTAAGGATTTAGATTCTTGGTATATTTCAGTCCGTAAATTCTCAATCATCTTAAAATTGTTTGGCTTGAAGGTTCTATCATAATAATGCTGAGACAGCCGTCGGAAGAGGCACTCTCACTATGACTCAAAATAAAGACAGTCGAACAAACGGCCTCATCCCCCTTCCTCAACATCATCTAAAGAATTTAAAATATCTTTTTAATTCAATAAAGATGTTACTTTTATGTGCCAGTAGCACAACAAAGGAAGAGTCCTTCGATAAAACAACGACATAGACATTTTGAGAGAAGGCCCGAGAGTTTAGCATCGTAATAATGTGTTTCTCATAAAGAGAAGGCGAGCTTTCACGAATTATATGGGAGTCTGTTGCTGTCAATACACAATAAGAGGTAATAAATTAGATTATTTGAGTGTTATATCTATGTATCTACTACTATCATTCAATAAATCTAAATTCACTGAAGATAAAGTGTTATAGTTTGTAGTTATAATGTTCCTCTTTAAATTGTATTCAGTCTACTTTACAGGCACAGAGTGATATTGATGGTCAAATGTTTCAGCCCTAATATTCATAATAGGATGAATGATGTTCATTTTTGGCGAGTATTGCAAACCTTCCCAAGAGATAGGAAGACATTAAGCAGGAGATACTGTTATTACAATTCGCAAAACAGCATACGCCCGGGAGTTCTGAAGGTCAAGTAGATAACAATTGCCTTTTCACAGAGACCACAAGGATTTTCTGATTTCAAACCCAAGCAGCACTAATCCCCCTATTTTAGAGAGACCATGATGTACAAGTAAGAGTCCCTTTGCAGAGCTTTTTTTTTTTTAAAAGAGGAAGAAAGGAGACATCAGAGCTCTTTTAACCCTTTGAGTATAGGCCTAATGCGCAGAATTTACTCCCCTCCAGAAAGTCACAGCTCCCATAATCACTGTCCTTCCCCTGTCCTCGCTTAGAGCTCACATTCATTCCACCCAATTTCCAGACATGTCAAGTGCCTCCCGCACACTGTTTCCAGAGTCCCTGTCTGACCTAGTAAATCCACAGCTGTCAGACTTCCAGACATTTCAAGTTCTCTTCTCGGTCTCTCCCAATGATTTAAGGATTGATCGTGATTGCTTTATCTTGAGAGTAAACCTCAAGACCAATTATACGCAATTATACTCATTACTATACTCGTTATAATACTTGTTTTATAATTGACAGCAAACAGCTACAGCTGTGATCAGCTTGAACTCAGTTCAATTTGATTCCAGTGATGATGTCTTCAAGACAAAAAAGTATGAAAGCTTCCATGAAACTAAGTTAAAATAACCGACTTCCTGCAGAGCTTCAGAGCTTTTAGAAGTGATAAGATGACAGGCTATGAAATCTTGTCACATTTGAAATCCACTGTAAATGTCCAGCTGACCACAGTGGCCATTGTTTCTCTGTCAGCGAGAACGTGTTTTACAAACCTACATGTGGTGCGTGTTTGATTCTCAAAAGAAAGATTGTTGGTGAACTACCACTTCAAAACGTTCAAAAGTTCCCAGGTGTCATAAACGATTCCTTTGCGACCCGCCGGCGGAGATGAGAGGACAGTTTCCATTCACCTGAAGTTGCATCATGTGCTCCAAAAACCTTAGAAGTCTGTTTCGTAAATAGACAATCAGGTGTGAACCCTGGACGTTTCTGGTGAGCGGTGTCACTGACACCTTTGGCTTCAACAGAACTGTATTGTTCCATGTTTTAAATTCCAGGGATATTACTAAATTCCAGTTAAACTAACTCCAAAAACAGCTGCGACCCAGACACGCAGGTTAGTGTTTAGGTGCAGCTGGCAATGGGGAAAACACAACCTGTGTTAGCGATAAGGTATTTAAACTACATGCACCGCATTCCAACCGAAGCCTTCAAAACAGGAGCCAAAACTGAAACCAGGCGAGGATGGGAGATAACCTATTAATTATATGTGAGGTGCATTGATATGAAAGTACGTATGTGACTGATTCCTAAAGGAAATGTATCCATTTATTTTCAGGTTCTTTGTGCCGCGCAGCCAATATCACAACACAAGTTTCATGTTTTTAGCCACTTTAACACTTTGGTCCACCAGATTGAAATATCACAACACGTGTTGCATTGATTATAATGAAATTTGAAATTAGACATTCATGGTGCATAGAGGACGACCCCTCATAATTTTGGTGAACCCCTGCCTTTTTTTTCCAGCGTCATCACAAGGTTCACATTTGTAGTTTTGATTGAAGTGTCTCTCAATGTCTTACAAAAGAACATTCTGTCTTCTTGTTGAAGCTATAAGATATATGTGTGACAGGCTTGAATTAATTAACTCATGCATTAGATTATATATAAACCATTCATATTTCATAATAATAACAGGAAGAACATTTATCACAACTTGATTTAATACAAAATCAACTGCAACCTTGGTTCAACAGGATTTATTGCATTTCAGGACTGACAAAACTGGCAACCCGTCATCTTGTGGCCTCTGGCTCAGGTATAATGAGAATATCCTTGCCTATCCTAGCTCCCTCACCTGCACATCTCCTACAAGTACACACACTACTGATGCCGCAGCTCATGTTTTGTAATTGGAAGTTGTAAGTGGTTTGATTCAAATACTTGTAAATAACCCCCAATAGCTGAAAGGCAGAAAAACACTAGGAATACTGAAAATACAATAATCAAAATGAATTTACAAATAATTCTGCGTAACTAAAGGTGTAAACAAAGTTGTCCTCGGATGAACAAGCTCACTAATATATACAGTTGAGTGCATTAGAGTTGAACCAACAGAAGAAGAGCAGTAAACCACACACTTATACCATTTGCATATTTAAGGATAAAGCCTGGATTACCAACTAAACCTGCAGGCCCTGGAAACCCTGTGTTCATCTATTTGTAATTTAAATGTGAATGTGTCCTTTGTTACGAGTTTGCTCGTCCTCAACATCTAGCCAGTGAGGATATTTTATTATTGTACGCCAAACCTAAAGAATCTATTAAGAACGTGGATGGTTTCAGAGTTTAAATAATATCGTCTCACATTAACTTTTTTATTTTATTTATTTCGTATTCCAGTTCTCCTTGATCACAATTGATTTAGACTATTTGCTTGTAATGTAAACATGTTTTCTGCAAACTACCACACATCCCTATGGACACTAACCCAACACGTGTAAACACGGCTTATTGGGGAAGCAGATTACTGCAACCCATATAACCTTAATCTGGTTGCTCACAGTCAACACTGTCACAGTGTGTGTAAAACGACCCTGAGGGTAACAAGTTGCCGTGAAATTCCTGAAGACTGTCGGCCAATATCAATGTCTTGTGTGTAAAAACTTGGTCTATCAGCCACTATATCATTGATAGATCGTTTTATTAATTGTATTCAACGTTCACTGATTCCAGCCTTTTTGCTGCTTCTATTGGTCTGTGAATGTAAACTGAATATCTTTGGATTTTTGCACTTGTTAGTTGGACAAAACAAGACCTTGAGGAGATTTATAAGATTGTATAATAACAGATTAATCCGAAATAAAAATAATAGTTAGTTGCCCATATGCTGTCAATTATGTGGAACATATTTGAGGACCATTAAAGAAACTTTTGAAAAGTCATCATAATGTTGGCGACTAACTGGTTGTCCCTGAGCCCCACTAGAGGTTTGTAATCCTGCCAGAGGAAAGGTATTTCAGCATAAACCAACATGAGCGGGAACATTAATCAAGTAGTTGTTCGACAGAAAATGAGTCGACGACTTTTTCAGTCATTCAAAAGTACTACACATTCTCTACCTCAGCTTCCCAAATATGAGGATTTGCTGCTTTTCTTTATCGCATATCACAGCAACCTGCCTGCACTGAGGGTTTGGATCATTGGTTAGACAAAACAACAAGACGTCATCGGAGCTCTGGGCAGTGGTGACTGGGCATTTTTTCTCAGTGTTTTACCATGACATTTTAGACAAAACAATTAACCGCTTAACAATCAAAAGTAATCTCTACATTAATTGTTAATTAAATTGAGCTGCCCAGAAACCAACTACTATTCATTAACTGTTATCATTATTATCCACAATTAATCCTCATGGTATTGTAACTTGTCCTTGGTCTCACGGGGCTATTTTCTGTCACAGTAACAGAGCCAGTGCATTCAACACCAACGTGCCCTGAGAGGAAAAGGAATATGGCAGCAGCGTGAGAGTGAGCGGTTGGCTGGTTGGCTGGTTGGCTGGATGGCTGTGAGAGTTGTCATCCTCATCCCCTCACAGAAAACAGACCCACAGGCACAAAGCAGGAAAGCTCATACATGCCACACTCACAAAGCACACAGTAAAAAGGCATGCACATGCCGCCTCTGGACACCATATCTAAGGCCTGGCTGGCTGCAGTCTGTTTAAAATCATTGCTAGGTGTTCGCAGTCAACCATGGACAAGGGAAGAGGGATTGGTGGGAGAGACTTCAAAAGTAACTCCAGGCTTATATGGGCCAGTTCCTTACATCTGACACTTGGGAGAACAGAAGAAAAAAAATGGAAACAAAATGCAAAACAAGTGGATGCACCAGCAGCTATTGATCTGCATGTCTGCATCAATCTTAATTTCAAATGTATAGTCTGACCCCAGCCGTCCAAAGACATGTGAGCGAGGTTAACTGTGTTTAAAACAAAGCCCTGACACTTAGAAAATAGTGTTTATCACCAAGACTAGTGTGTCACACCTGATGCCGCCTTTAGAACAACATCTCGAGGATGCATGAGTATGCAAGGACAAGATGCCGAGAAGAGCACAAAGGACTGGGAGAAGAATATCGTGAAAATAAAGAAATAGGCGCGCGCCATCAATGCGCTCGGTAAATGATGGTAATAACATTATATAGACATAATGAAGATATGTCAACAAGAATCTTTTGTCTATCAGCCTGTTTTCCATTGCGCTTCCTCTGCCACAACACTGGAGTTCTTCATCATCAGGTGATCAGAATGGGATGCTGTTACAATATAACGATCTGTTAATAGGCTTTCGTAGATCGTAACAAGGTAAGGAAGTGATTTTATTGTCAAATTTACCTCTTTGGGTGAAAGCAGGAGTTCATTGGTGTCCGCGGTATCCCTCGAACATGCCACTTCTGACAGAGCCACGATGCAAGCCTTGCGCTCGGGGAGCGGAACAACTCTCCTTGGATATTTCCGAAATGCCGGCGGATAGTCGGTGAGGATGAGGCCGGTTTGTCTTCACATTAAACAATAAACTGTGTTGTCTGCAAACTGGAAATTGTACACATGTATGTAAAAGTCGCGCACAAAATAAACGGGCTTCAATAGGATGAGATGTTCGGATGCGTTGCTGATGCGCTTCTGCTCTGCTCCTGTGTGACGGTTCGCCTCTTGCGCTCCCAGTTCACTCAAATCAATGGGTGTGTTTACACTGAGAGGGGGAGGACCGTCACCGCGCGCAGGAAATGAATAGAGAGAGAGAGAGAGAGAATATGCGAAAAGATGTGGAGGACAGCTTGTCTCCCAAGGCAGGAGTTTCCTCCCACACATACAAATACAGCACTGTCTGATTTAGATTCGGAGGTATTTTTGTTAGTATTTCCATTTTAAAACGACTGCATACTTCTACTCCACTATATTTCAGAGGGAGATGTGGTACTTTCTAGTAAAAGTACCAATAGAACAATGTAAAAAATATTACATTGCAATTGAAAGTTCTGCATTAAAATTCCTAGAAGTATTGGCAACATGTAAATGTTAAAATTAAAAGTACTTGTTCCTCAGTGTGAGTGATATATCACTAGACAGATACTGCTGCAACAATGTGAGAAGTTTACTGTAGTGGTTCGGTTTCGGGCAGGGCCCTTCTTCCATTTCGTTCCCTGTTAAAGCTTTTTGGGGAGGGGAGAGCTTCTCCCTACGCAAAGCGAGGATTAAAGGACAGTGGGTGCCATATGCTACACAGATTTTAAAACCCCTTAAAATCAGATTAATTGTTAGTTGTACAAAACTATGTTCATATGACACTCATTGGATGTACATGTATTGGTAACAATCAGTAACAAATAGTGATGAGTATATTAAAACAGTACAGTTCTCAATCATATCATGTTTTAAGTTTGGATAACAATAATACCTATACCTAGTACTGGGTATAGCTAACATAGTTTATTTTTTAGAGTGAATCTTTAGGTTTAAGCTGCATTTTATACTTTTAATTCAAATATTTTGTAGATTTTAAAGCAAAGACTTGGGAGGGACTCTTTGCTGAAGGTAAATTACATTGTTACACTGAAGTAAATAAAATGCATTGTTTGTGTTGTGATTTTTTTTGTTTTTTAAACTACAGGGATACGTTTAAAAACAATACCATATAGAAAAGACCATAAAGTTTGACTGAGTCACATCAAACTCACCACTGAATGCCATACGCACAATATAAATCCTATAGGATTATAAAGACATTGTGGTTTTGGGTTGGGGTAGCTGGGAACAGGAAGTCCAATTATATCCCTGGACATCTTGTGTGAGTCACATCTGCGGTCGTTGTTGACGAGACTTTTGGCTGTGACGAAACCTTTCAGTGGAACCCTGAGGCTATGGTGTTCGTGTTTTGTTTGTTTTTATGGGTTTGTTTTGCGGTGATTAGAGCTGTGACACACTCGCATCTGATTTTTTTTTCCCATAAAATGTTTTTATGAAGACAGAAATTTCACTATTACTGTTGCTTCATAGTCAGTATATGACAGCACAGTGTTCCTTAGAGAAGTGTTTAGTTGTGAAAAAAACTAATTATGGCAGCAAATGTTTCATATACCTATATGACAGGAGAGACATCTAGTGGACAAAATGTTCCTGGGACAACTAGTTCCAAAGATTGAAAGCTGGAACTGGGGGAATAATTTAATTATTAACACTCTAGTGTGGTTGACATTGACTTTACTTCCTCGTTGTTCTGGCTCTCACAGACCCCCTGCTGTTTGTGTAAAAACAACAACATCTGCTAAATCAATCTTTGCTTTAATATATATTTGTTCTTTTTTTCTGACCTTAACAAAATCCTCCCACTGCAACAAACTGGGCTTGACAAAATACAAATCTAGGCATTGCATGAACAAATATATGTTCATTCTTTTTGCCAAAGGTTTATTCACATTTAATGAAATATATGTTATGCAACATAGTGGTTTGACTAATGTTTGGGGTCAATTAGACCTCTGTTCTAAATCCCTGTTCGACCTCTTATGGACAAACGTTTATAATTTTAATAAGATAAATTCAAATCAGACTAATTTGGAATTTGGGATGGGAAATTATTTTTATTTAGCATTTATTTTACAGACTGTTGATAAATGACTGATATAGTGGTGTGCAGAAAAACATCTTCATGGCATTAAATGCTCCATAAATATGACACGAGCGACACCTAGCGGACAGAAATAGTCCTGGGAATAAAGTTGATTGTCACAGTGTGAACAGATCCGGAAAGGCATCAGAATGTGTATTTGAAAGATTTAGAGTACTTTAGAAAAAAATAATAAAAAATTGGCAAACAACACATATTTTTTGTATTGAGGTTTGAAGTTAAGTTAAGTTTGTCTCTGTTTATTGTTTCAGCTTTTATTTATCTCATGTCAACTCAAATAAAATAGGAGTCAATAAAGAGTGAGTAAACACACGCTATACTAAAGTAAAGGTTAAGGTTTACTAGTTGCACTAAGTAACAACTCTCTCTCTCTCTCTCTCTGGTTTGTCCTGTCCTATCTCACATGAAATGCTAAGTCATTATTATGAGATAGTAAGTAATTATGGCTTACTATCTCATACTAAATAGATACTAAGTCATAATTTTGAGAAAGTTTCTCATTATAATGACTTACAGGATCTTTATTTTTTCATCACAGCGGTAGAAATGGGCTTCCACACCTTTGTGTTGCATTTTATGCGTGAATTGCGCTTTACATACTTATTTCCAACATATAACATCGAGATAAACACATTTCTAAATGACAATATGATCAAATAACTACTTTAAATTGGACATCAATTAGATGCTATAATAATTATAGATGTATTCTTTGTTGTTGCCTTGCATCTTTTAATAATGAATGAGGAACTATTTAAAGTTTTCAAGACAGTCGGGGTTGTGTTTCCCCTTTAAATCTTTGCACAACCTGTACTTCCGCATGAGCAGCCCCGCCCAGTTCCTTCCATATACCGCTGTCTATGTCGTGACCGTCAGTCTCGTGACTCTGCCGTCCACTGCCAACATGTTCTCTACTCTGCAGCTTACGCTATTGTTGCTGGCCCTTGGCTTCTCACAGGGGCTGCAGCACAACTACATTGACAAATTCGACGAAGAGGCCGAGGCTGAGCGCGTTGTTGGGGCGTCAAAGTACGGGTCCCTGTGGCCTCTTCCGCAGAAAGTGAAAATCTCAGATATTTCATTCAAGTTATCCAGCGCCAGCTTCAGGATATCCGACGCCAAAGAGTCATCCGCCGGACCGGGCTGCAGCCTCCTGCAGACTGCGTACAGGAGGTGAGAAGTTTACCTCTGTTTATTGTGAGTGAGTATAAAGCGCCGTGTTGCATTCAGGGACCCCCTAACCGCATGACAAACAAAATAAAAAACGTCCTCCCATTCACCGTCTCCCTCAACAGGTATTACGAGTACGTGTTTGGGAGCGCTAAACGGCAGGAGCTGAGTAAAAGCGGGCGAACAGGCCCCGCTGTGCTGCCGGAGCTGCAGGTGTGGGTCACATCACCTGACTCTGAATGTGACGGTTACCCAAGTGTTGCATCGGACGAGTCATGTGAGTCTCTTCTCTTCCTCATTGATATCATATTTAATCGCTGACCAATCTTCTGCATTTACAAGTACTTTCATTTGTGATACTTCGCATTTAGCCAATACTGCCTACATACTTTTACTTAACTGATGTTTTCAAAGCAGTAGTTTTACTTGTGATGGAGTATTTTTATATTGCAGTATTGCTACTTTTTCTTGAGTATTTGATCTGAATACTTCCTCCACCATTGCTTTTGCAGCAATGAAAGTTGCATACTGTACTTTTACCTTTTGATACTTAAAGTCCTTTTTGCTGATGATACTTCTTTAATGAATGCAGACCTTTTACTTGCAACAGAGTATTATTTAAAGTTAATGATCTGAATACTCTGATTCTTCGTACTCTATTTTACAACCAGAGACAGGGCGTATACTTAGGACTTACCGGTGGAGTTAGAGATTTCCTGGTCGGTAGGTTAACACGGTCAATGTAGACCAAATGTTTAAAGCCCACCTGAGTATTTAAGACCCTGACCTAAGTATCATAATAACCCCCTTCCAGGCTTTGACAGCACTGACTATGCAAATGCAATACACAACTGTTTGTGTCCACAGATGAGCTGACGGTGGATCAGCCGTATGCTGTCTTGAAAGCGCCGAAGGTCTGGGGAGCCTTGCATGGTAGGATTTCTTTGCCCATTATTGCACCAAACTCTGCATTAGGGCTGCAACCAACAGTTATTTCCTGTATCAATTGATCAGTGTAGCAGAATTTCCAACATTGCAATCCCTCAGAGCCCAAGGTGATGTCTTTAAAATGCTTCTCTGGCCCAGAACCCAAAGATATATATAAGCTGAAAATCCAAGAAGCTGGAAACATAACTTTTGACATTTGTGCTTGATAAATAGCTTAAAGGCATATTTCATTATCTTGTGAAATATATTTATATTTAACAGCAGACATATGAGTTGGTTTGTGTAAAGTACATCACTCCATGTTTATGTAATATGTGCAATCAAAAGCTGTTTTGGCGTCACTCCCTGCAACACAAAATGACTGTTTCTGTTACTGTGGAACTTTGCTCCCATATCTACGGAGTGTTCTCAAATGACAGCAACTACATTTTATGGTATCATTAAAAACTGATGATTACGAACAATGTGTTCATTTTTTTGGCATTTGCTTTCAGGTCTGGAAACGTTCAGCCAGTTGGTGTATGAAGATGAATATGGAGCTGTAAGTGAAGGACAATATTGTACACCTTTTTTTTATTATTTTCTGTCAACTGCATGTGAGCCATGTTTAGACTCTTTAGGCTGAATTCCACTTTGCATCTTTTCAGAAAAGCATCAATTCAACAACAATCAGTGACTTCCCCAGATTTGCACATAGAGGCATCTTACTGGACAGCTCTCGGCATTTCCTGCCCATTAAAGTCCTCTTGGCTAATCTGGTACGTCAATAAGATTAGATTAGATTAGAATTTTGTTCACCGCTTAAATACTTTATTTATTTTTTTACTTGTTTTGTTTTTATACAGGAAACAATGGCAATGAACAAATTCAATGTTTTCCACTGGCACATCGTGGACGATCAATCCTTCCCATACCTGAGCCGAACGTTCCCACAGCTGAGCCAGCAGGTCAGAAAGACTGCTTATTGGTGTTCAATCTCAGCAAAGACAAAAGTCCAGTTTTTCTTTATATCAAGACTACTATTTTTCACAATTCATTAAAAACGTTCACAGGGAGCTTACCACCCGTACACGCATGTGTATACACCCGCTGACGTGAAGATGGTGATTGAATTTGGCCGTCTGCGAGGCATTCGTGTTATCCCGGAGTTTGACACTCCGGGACACACGCAGTCTTGGGGCAAAGGTGAGTTCTGTTGGTGTCGGTGGAGAGACATTTTCACCACCATTTTATTACGTCTTCTTATTAAGATGTCGGATTAAACTACCTGGATGCGTTCAGCAAGGACACTGTATATCTAAAAGCTTAAAAAAAAAAATCAACTCGACTTTTTTTTTTTTTTTTTTTCCCCCTCAGGCCAGAAAGATCTGCTCACACCCTGTTACTCTGGCTCCAAACCCTCTGGCTCATTCGGACCAGTGAACCCCATCCTGAACACCACGTATGACTTCATGAGCCAGTTCTTCAAGGAGATCAGCACCGTGTTCCCCGACGCCTACGTCCACCTGGGAGGGGACGAGGTGGACTTCAGCTGTTGGTGAGTGAGACTGAGTATACAATGCCAAAAAAAACTTCTCATCAGAGATTAGACAACAGTTCATATTTTGCTGCTCTTTTTCTTTTCTTTTTTTTTTTAATCGTCGTGCAGGAAGTCCAACCCGGACATTCAGAAGTTTATGGCTCAGCAAGGTTTCGGACAAGACTTCAGCAAACTGGAATCATTCTATATTCAAAAGTGTGTTGCTCATTTTATAATAAAGTGTTTTGCTTGTTTAACAGTAAACTGGTTATCAGAGATTGTCACATTCGTTAAGTTCCAATCCTTATTCAAATGACAAAGAATTTGATTTATTCTTTATTTTGTGCCTTTTTTTCGATCTCATAGACTCTTGAATATCGTCACCACGACCCAGAAGGGCTACATCATCTGGCAGGAGGTGTTTGACAATGGTGTTAAGGTAACTGAAGCCTTATTTACATGTTGGAGGTACTAATGATGGCCTTTCATATACTAACTGGTAGAGATGCACAGATCGATCGGCTATACATACACCGTATACAATCATGTTATCTGGTTCTCAGCTGATATGTATGAACACACAGTTGAATTTTCTACAAAAGAAAAGTTTTTAGAAGGAACAAATTGGAATTTAAAAAGAAATCGATGCAATTCTACAGACTAGACCAAGATTCTGGTTTGACTGATAAATACTTGATCATCATTTATAGGTCATTTGTGTTTTTTTTTTTTTTTGAGAAATAAGCTTCTTGTCAAGCTAAGCTAACAAGCTTCTTATGGTAGCTTCATATTTAGCATACAGACATGGGCGTGGCATCCATCCAATTATCGAACACTCAGCTGAAAAAGTGAATAAATGCATTTCCCAAAATGTCAAACTATTCCTTTTAACCAAAAACCAACAACCTCATGTATTATCTACCCTAAACACAGTAGCTTGGTCTGTAACTGTTTTCAGTTAAAGCCAGACACAGTAGTGCATGTGTGGATCGGCGGCGGGGCTAATGATGAGATGAGCAAGGTCACGGCAGCAGGCTACACCACCATCCTCTCTGCCCCGTGGTACCTAGATTACATTAGCTACGCACAGGACTGGCAGAAGTACTACAAGGTTGAGCCGCTCAGCTTCAACGGTCAGTTTTTTTTTGTGTTTTTTGTTGTTTTTTTTGCAAAGATTATTTCATTTGGACACGGGTCAATTGAGGCCAAAAAAAGAATTGTGGATTTTGTTCAACAGGCTTACGCTTGAAAACTGCACCGTTGTGACAAGGAGAGCGAGTCAGAGGCAGACATGAAGTGAATAACGGGGCAGGGGGTTGATGGTTTTGCATGTTGTTTCTGTCATTAGTTGATGTAGTTCACTGCTGTGGAGGAACAATCCTGGTGTATTTGAAACAATGACCTAATAAACTAATGAGTGAACAATGTGGCATGGTGAGAAGGTCCTGGGTTCAAATCCAACAGACGGGGACCAAGACGAGAGTGGACTGAACCTTTTTATTTTTTTTTCCAGACACTTAAAGATTATGTGACATCATGTTCTGCAAATAGTCTAAGCAGAAGTAAAATCCCAAGACACAAATGTCTTAAATGGACTTGAAATAACACACGGCTCTGACATTGTCGTCTTCGTCCCTCCACTCCGGTTGTCTTCTTCATCTTGCTGGTACTGATACTTTTATGTGTGTGTGCTGTGTAGCTGAAACCAGACACACTTATCCACGTTTGGAAAGGAAACAAGGAGCAATACCAGAGTGAGATGGCAAAAGTTACATCATCAGGGTTCCAGACCCTGCTGTCCACTCCCTGGTACCTGAACCGTATCTCCTACGGCCAGGACTGGCAGGGCCATTACAAGGCCGACCCACAGGATTTCAAGGGTTTGTGTCTGCATGATTGATTTAATTGGCAAGACTTCTACCCCCTGCCCGTTATGGCTGGTCATTTTCTGTTTATGCAACATTGCTTTTTCCCAGTATTATAATTACGGGTGTTACCTCACTCACGTAATTGTTTTATTGTTGGTCTGACTCATTTATTATTATGTATTGTTTGACTCTTGACACATATCTGAAATGTCATGAAGTTGTTTGTCACTCCTGTGCTAATATGTGTAAGCCTGTTGAATGAACAGAGGGAAAATATTTAAATATTTTGCTTTCAGAAAATCACTGATAAACGAAATAAAATACTTAATTTAATTACAATTATACTCTCTAGTCCAGTGGAGCTTTAGATTCCCTGGCTGTTGCTTGGGCTGCTTGTTCTCATTAAATATTACATTTCAAAACAGGAACTGCAGAACAAAAGAAGCTTGTGATTGGTGGAGAAGCCTGTTTGTGGGGGGAGTATGTGGACGCCACCAACCTGACACCCAGACTCTGGTATGTTGTTTTAGTAACGAAATATTTCCAGAAAATAAATGCATTGTGATCCATGACGTATAAACATTTCTTATCTCTTGTCTTCTGTTATTTCCAGGCCTCGTGCCAGTGCTGTGGCGGAGCGTCTGTGGAGCGCCATGGATGTGACGGACGTCAATGATGCCTTCAACAGACTGTCTGTGCACCGCTGTCGCATGGTGGCGTAAGTATAGTCTGTTTGTGCTATTCACATCTACGTCGGTCGCTATGGATTCAGGTGGGTCTCAATATGAATGCAGCACTCTAACTTAACAGCTGTACGGGGGACAGAAAAGTAATTACCAGGAACGATAACTAGGTATATGGAGGAATTCTGAGGTTAAACTTAATACATTTTAAGGCCCTTTCCATACATTGAAAGAACTTGTCGCCTCTTTGAGCTCTAACCTGTTAAATCAGCAACATAACTCACATTTGGCCTCATGCAAGAATATTTTCTTATCCTTATCTTAACTTCCCCTTCCTCTTCCAGATTCAGCAAACGCTACTAACTTCAGATAACTGATATGACCAGCATTAACATGATGAATGCTAACTGTGCGTTTATGAAAATTGTAAATTTGAATTTCCCGCCTCAATAATACTATATTGGCTACATATGCTGCCCTATATGTCCGCAAGTGTGAATGAAATAAAGAAGAAATTGTTCCATATGAAAATTGCTTTAAAAAAAACATCTCGCCAAAGCCAGGAGATTCAATGACTGAAACTGGTCTCTGCAAGGTGGACCCATCTGATTCCATAAGTACCAGTCTCTGCCTCATCATCTAACAGACACACTCCTGTTAAATGCTACTGATTTAATATAAATGTATTAATGATCTGAACTATCTTTTCCTATCTAAGGCGTGGGATCCCAGCTGAGCCACTGTTTTCCAGCTACTGTCCCCAAGAGTACAAAGGTATCTGAAAAGAACTGACAGGCCGGCCATGGGAACAGAAAAAGGAAAGGGAAGCGAATTCGTATACAATCAACCCAATACTTGTATTTTAAACTGAAAAATCAAATGCCAAATGCCTTTGTGGCAATGTCACTGTACTGTACTGTACTTATGCTCTTCGACGCATCATTCTTTACAAATCTGCTCCACACAACTCTTGATCTCATCTAATGTCATAAAGCTGTTGAATTTATGAATGCACTCTTTTTTTTATGAATGTTTGATTATAAATAAAATGTTGACATTTTATGTGCAAGTCTCTCGTTACAATTTATTTTCCATCCAGCTAAGAACATGGTTCACATTTTGTATTGTGCTCTTTCCTGCAGTGAGTATTCACACTAAACAGCATTTTACTGACATTTACTGCAAGTCCTGGAAAACTCTGTTGTGGTACGAGCCATGCCTCTGTCCCAGAAGGCCATTGGTCCCATTACTGAACAGCTTCACATGGATGAGATCACAGCAGACCAGCGATTCTTTTAAGGAGGGTGTTCTGGTCCTGCTGGTTCATGGCCTCATAGGTGTCCAGCGCCAGAGAGAAGGTGGCATTGCCAGATGTTATTGTTCGCAGGATGGTGGAATAGCCCTGTTGAAAGAAACGCGTGTGAATAGTAAACCATTGTCCGGGTGGCCAATTAAACCAAAAACTACAGACAAAATGTTCGAATTGTATGTCCTCTCACCATCATCTCAGCCAGGGGCACAGTTGCCAGCAGCACCTTGTCGTCGTGTCGACTCTGGATGTCTCGGACAGTCCCTCGTCTTTGGGCCAAGTCCCCCAACACAGAGCCAAGGCGGTCCTCCCCGACAGTCACCTCCAGGGACATCACTGGCTCCAGGACCTGACCTCCTGCCAGCCTCAGGGCCTACGTCCACAGAAACACAACTGCCTCTTATCTATTGATCATCTTGTACTTTTCAGTTATGATGCAGGAACCCATAAAGGTTTACCTTCAGCATGCACCGGGACACACAAGCAGACACCATGGCAGGAGATGTTCCTGGTTCCATGGTGACACTTTGGATCAATGTAGCTACACCCTGTAAAGGATATCCTAGCAATGGACCTGAAGGTGGAAGCAAGCATTGAAAATAATTTGCAGTAGGTCCTATTCATTCTTAAATAATACAACCAGGCAATACAAAAAGGGCAGAGGAGTTTGCAAGAGAAGTGAGTTTTGTTCAATGATACCTTGAAGATATGAGCTGTGTACTCCATTCTCCACTGCCTCCTTCATTTGTGGTGATAGCTGCCCCCCCAATTCCTCTGCGAAAGCTAATTCACATGAACCACCCGTAGCGGAGATGTGAAGAGGTGCGACGGCCAGCTTCGCTGTCACAACATGTCGTCTCTCCCCAACAGTACGGTCCAGCGTGTCTACATCATCATTTTGGTGGGAAAATTCGTACAGAAACCAAAATTGGATCAAGTACAGTATGTCGCTGACACAAAATATCTAATGCACCAATGAAGAAATCATTCTTCGTTGTACCTGTAGTAGAGACCTCGTGGAGAATAGACTCCCTGTAAGCCACCTGTAGCGGCCCGAGGTGAGTCTCAACGCCATACTCTCTTCTGATTCGATCGTGGACGATCTCGATGTGCAGCTCTCCCATCCCACACAAAATGGTCTGAGGATGGAGACAATTAGTTGACTTGTGGAAGCTGCTCCTACGAAACAAACTCCTGTTTAATACAATGAGGGCCTTACCTGGCCAGAGTCAGGGTCAACCCTGACTTTAAGACTGGGGTCTTCTCTCTGGAGGCAATTCAGTGCATTCTCAAGATCTTTCAGGGAAAAAATTATGTGTTAGTGACTACAAGCTTGCTGGAGCATGTGAAGCAAAACTATAATCACTGTCACTGACCAGCCTGTTTGGCCATGGTGGGCGGTTCTATGGTGCAGAAGAAGACGGGATCAGGGACCTCCACCCCTGAAAGGACCACGCTGGCATGTTCCCCTTGCCTCTTCCCTGACCCGCTGTCATTTTGGGCTCGGCGGGCTGCAGCTGCTGCTGAAGCCTTCGATAAGACGATAGTGTCCCCTGTGACTGTCTAATGTGGAAAACATAAATAACCTTTTTGATGGGAAAATCTTCAAAATAGCACATAGAGAATATCATGCGTGTATGATGCTCTACCTGCTTCAGCCCTACAGTCAGAGCGATGTTTCCCGCTGTCATGGAAGGGATTTCTACATGCTGATCAGCAAACGGCACCAGCAGCCTGCTCATCCTCTCACTACACACAACATGATGCAAAAAAAGTTTCGAAATATCATAAAGATTTTGGTCAAAATTGTAATGTATTGTAATCAAAGCTACGTACATGCTGTTCCTGTTGATGTTGTGGACCGCAGTTTGTGCTTTTAGAGTACCAGAGTAAATCCTGAGGAACACCAGAGGACCTCGCTGCTTGTCATGGAGAACCTTGAAGGCCAGGGCACACAAGTCATCCTTGTACCACCGCCTGTAGGATGATGAACAGAGCTTATTGTCTGACAACAGTCTTCATAGAAAAATATTCATGAAAGCATGGGAAATTCATTAAGGGACAATCCCAGCATGATTTTAGTGTTTGCTCAATTGTATCCATCTTCCATCCATTGAACATAAATGGTGACAGTCTACTTAGAGAAGAGATTTGTAAATCTGTTTTGCACATTTTCAGACCCATACAGTTTCCGTTGTTGCCTGAGCTACTTGCAGCTAGCTGCTGTATTTAGTTGTTTTCTGTATTTGTAGCACAGTGAGCTCTCAGGACCACCGTACATAAGCTTTTACAGTCATTTAAATAATGAATGCAAAGGAGATCATCAAGTGTCTTAATCTCCATCCACTGCTTCTTTTGATTCCTGTATTTTACCCTCTAAAATATAAAATCATATCCTGTAGTTAAGTTCCTCATAGCTGTGGATGTTTCAATATTTAAAAAAAGGAAAATGCACAAAAGCAATAAATAATATGATTCAAAAAACCATTGAAAAACAGTATTGGAATGCAGAACCTGGACATCAATCATGCTGGAATCGTCAGCTACGGTCTGAGTCAGTTATTCACTCACACCAGGTCATGGTGCCGTTCATTGGGGGCAGGCAGGTAGGCGGTGATGGCATCTAAAAGGGGCTGAACACCTTTGTTTCTCAAAGAGCTCCCACAGAGTACTGGGACGCCTTTACGGGCCAGAGTCACCCGCCGCACAGCCTCCTGTAGCTGGGGACACATTAGCACCGTTTACTGCTGAATGCACAAGTAACAGTGTCACTTTATAGGCTTGTATTGTGGTACAGTACAACACTTACTTTGATTGAGGAAACAGCATCAAACTTTTCACTAAAATCAGTCAGCAACAGTTCAGCAAATTCATCATCCAGATCAGCAACCTGTGATCGAAAACAGAAATATGAACCGGAGAAAGAAATCGGGAACATTTTAACATTTAGAACAGTAGACATTGTTGTAATTACTGCGACATGTACCTGCTCAATTAAAGCCGTCCTGGCCTCGTTCACCTCCTGCAGGAGTTCTGGCTCGTCCGACTGGTCGAGAGGTTTGCTTTCAAACACTCGTCCATCATCTCTCGTAGATCTTAGCTTCCATGTCAGCTTCTGGTTGGTTAACAAGTCAACCACACCTGAGAAGTTTTTGCCACAGCCGACAGGAATCTATGAAACAGAATGGCTCTCTGTGAGACATCTACATCACATGGTGACATAATCCAAACAGGTTTTTAGGTATTCTTTCTTTGTATAGCTTGTTTTTTGATTCAATCATTACATATATACAGTAATAAAATATACATTTTGACATAATATATATTACTGCAAATAGAAATAAAGCTTTTCTTTGACAAAAGTACATTCTTATGCTAATACTGTTGTACTTTTACTGAAGAAACATTTTGAATGCATGACTTTTTACACTGTGGTATTAGCACATTTACATAAGTTAAAAGATCTGAGCACTTCTGCCACCACTGCTTATGATCACAGTTTTACATAATAATCTAATAATTTCATTAAATAATTTTTTATTTTTCATTATAAATCACTGTCTTTGATGCCATGTTGCCTACCTGAAGGAGGACTGGGTTGGCTTTTAACTTGTGTCTTATGCTCTCAATGGAAAAACTTAGGCTGAAAGTAGAAAATGAAAGACAGTTTCTAGTTAAATAAAGTAACATTTTGAGAAATAAGAAAAAAGGTTTTGTATGGCCGAACTGTTTGGTCACTCACTTTGCTGCAGGCTTATCCATCTTATTCAGGAAACAAACACAGGGAACATGGTGCTTCTCTGCTTGTCTCCACACAGTCACAGTCTGAGCCTGTTGGCGTTTTCAAAGCAACAGAATCGACTGTGTTCAAAGAGCGCCCAATTACAGGACACGAAAAAAAAGAAGCAGTTTGAAAGCAGCGAGCTCACCTCAACCCCGGCAGAAGCATCAAACACTGCAACAGCCCCATCGAGAACACGAAGCGCCCGCTCTACCTCGAGAGTGAAGTCAACATGTCCTGTAAACACACACACAGTCACATGAGCGGCTGCTCCTTCTCATTTCCATGAGAATGTGATATTCTCCCGAGGATGTTATTTCCTACCTGGGGTGTCTATGAGGTTTATTCTATGAGTTTTCCAATCAAATGTGACCGCTGCCGACTGTATGGTGATGCCACGCTCCCTCTCTTGAGCCATAAAATCTGTGACTGTATCCCCATCGTCCACATCTGAAAGCAACAAAGTAGCAGCAATAAATTAAAGAGACAAAAACAAGCAGGTGATAAAGTCCACGGGTAATAAAGAATTCACTGTGTCCTCATCATTGTTTTTACCATCCTACTCACCTCCTAGTGCTCTCGTGTAGCCAGAGTAATAAAGCATCCTTTCTGTGGTGGTTGTCTTCCCTGCATCAATGTGGGCCATAATGCCAATGTTTCGGATTCTGCAGAAACAGTGCACGAGTTAACACGGAGCCCAGAGCTGAATCTAAACAGCATTTCAAAGAACTGACTGTATACTTCATTTACTTACTTGGATATATCAGGATTGGTCACAGCCTTCAGTGATTTGACATCATCTATGACAGTAAACATTAAGAACAATAACATTGTACATCTATAGCAGTAAACACTTTTACTGATGATATTTACATACTTTTTGAATGCATGCCTTTTACTTGTAGCGGAGTATTATCATAACATGCTATTAGCACTTGTACTTATATAAAGGATCTGAATACATTTTCTATTCATGAAAACAACGTACCTGGAAGAAAGCTGTAATGTCTATTTACATGACAGCTCACTCTACATCTGCAGCACTGGAGGCCAGCGGTTAATAAATACCTTCCCTGTGAATGAAAACGACCCTGTTAAGAAGTCAACATGATATTAAGATAATATTTCACGGTCAGCACTTGTCTTGGCAGAGTATATCTTACCCAAACCATCCTGCTTAATGCCCGACAGGCTCTGACACGCATCGTTAATGACTGCTTATCTTCCAAGCGTATTCTTCGGAATCAGTCTGAGCTTTGGACGAACCACGGTGGAGCAACATTGCAGTCAAAGAGGACAATGTCACACAATAACAATAAAAAAGAGGAAGACGTATGGCTATAACCAGTAGATAAATTCAAACTGTATCACAGTAAAGCATTAACGTGACCCACAAAACAACATAATCTATGCTATTAGGTGCTTAAATGTCATGCTTTCATAATGTACGACCCCAAAATACATCCCTAGAAACAAGCGTGTGGCGCTACCATTCCGGAAACGAAAACACGTCGGTTCCGTCTATATTAAAAGTTGTAAAAATGTTTAATATACGTATATAATGTTATGCATCAATTATGTATTACAACTCTATTTTTAAAAAATACTTAATTTGTCTTTAACACGGTTCAGTGTCAGTGTTTGTTAAGCGGATGCCGGTCATATTAAACTAACGGACAACCCGTTGCTTCAGGATGACGTACTTCCTCTAAATATCGGCTACGGGGATAACAACACCGAAACGACCCCAGCCCCAAGCAAAAACACCAAATACTCTGCGTCTGTACCAACTGCGGCGCATTCGCTGCGATACTTAACTACTTAAACACAAAATGGTAAGAAGATTTAAGTTTCAATTGCATTATATAACTTAAATCAGGCATTTTAACAGGTTAGCATGTTGTGCTAGCATTAGCTTTAGTTCACATGTGGCAGGGTGACGTGCTGCCCTGTGTTTATGGTGTTTATATTAAAACCTTTTGTCCTTCACTGACAAAAATGCTGTAGAAATAGTAGTTGTATGAGCACGAAAATGTGCCTACTTATTTACCATCCGTATGGTTAGCTTTATAAGTTGTATGTGTCTGAACGGAGTTTCTTACAACATCAAAGCCTTGAAGTAACTTTATGTTAACTTTCGTGTGAATATTCTTTACGTTTTATCCACTGTAGATGTCATTAATGTTGAATGATAGGTCGTAAGATTTGCATTTAATTATGAAATCTAAAGTGATTTGGTTTTGTCTAAAGTGATAATCTAGCTTAATTGTTTTTGTTCACGTTGTTGGCATGTGTTTCCACACCTATATAAACGACGAGTGGATAGCTTCAGGGCTGCAATCAACAATTATATTCATTATTGATCAATGTGCCAACATATCAAGTCAATAGCCCAATATCACAAATGTGCTTCAGGCGGCTTTATTTGTCTCAAAGACCAAAGTGACATCAACTTCTTGTGTGTCCAAGCCAAATGTCTTCCATTTACAATATTATAAAACAAAGTAAAGTATAAAATCGTCACACTTGATAAGCTGGAACCGGGAATTGAAGCATGCAAGATCAATCTAATAACAGCTTTTTACTTAACTGGAGACTGTAGATTTCTGCGCCACCCTTTGCATTTATTACAGTTCATAAGGAAGTTAAATTGACTTGGATGTTTGTTTTTCCTTTCGTAGCCCCAGAACGAGCACATTGAGTTGCACCGCAAGCGGCATGGCTACCGCCTGGACCACCATGAAAAGAAAAGGAAGAAGGAGAGCCGCGAGGCCCACGCGCGCTCCCACAAAGCCAGGAAGCTGATTGGGCTGAAGGCCAAACTGTACCACAAACAGAGACATTCAGAGAAGATCCAGATGAAGAAGACGTGAGTATACACAGGAAATCTGGGCTTGTCTTTACTAACAAACCATGAAAACTACTCCAAATGAACAGCTAAACAATTTTCACTTGTATCTTTGCAGCCTCAAAATGCACGAACAGAGGAAGACCAAGCAGAAGAATGATGAGAAGACCCCAGAGGGAGCCGTGCCAGCCTACCTGTTAGACAGAGAGGGACAGTCCCGCGCTAAGGTGCTGTCCAACATGATCAAACAGAAGAGGAAAGAGAAGGCTGTAAGTACCAGATCAAATATACTCATCACTTTTACGATGGTTCTATTCTATTGTAACGATATAGATGTGTGGAAATAACATAACTGGTTTCTAATCACAACTTTGTTCTGTTTTCCGAAGGGCAAATGGGAGGTTCCCCTGCCAAAAGTGCGTGCACAAGGAGAGATGGAAGTGCTTAAAGTCATCAAAACTGGAAAGAGACAAAAGAAAGCCTGGAAGAGAATGGTCACCAAAGTTTGCTTTGTCGGCGATGGCTTCACCCGTAAACCTCCCAAATATGAGCGTTTCATCAGACCCATGGTAAGATTGCAGTACAATTGAAATGTATTGTTTGTCACGTTAAAACACGGTACCCGTCTCAATGCTTCAGGCTTAATGTTGAATTAAGTACCTAACTCCCAAATGACCTCCCTCTCTTTATTCTACTTCAGGGTTTGCGTTTTAAGAAAGCTCACGTCACGCATCCAGAGCTGAAGGCCACGTTCTGCCTTCCCATCCTCGGAGTGAAGAAGAACCCCTCCTCCCCCCTCTACACCGCTCTAGGAGTCATCACAAAGGGAACAGTCGTAGAAGTCAATGTCAGCGAGCTGGGCCTGGTTACACAAGGAGGAAAGGTTATCTGGGGTGAGTGCTCATCTATGTGAATTCATAAATACGTTGGTCAGTGGACTTACATGCACTACAGTAATGTGATGGTGTTGTAACTGATGTTTCTTTTATTTCCCAGGTAAATACGCCCAGGTGACAAATAACCCAGAGAACGATGGCTGCATTAATGCAGTCCTGCTGGTATAAGACTCTTGACCTTTACACAGACGGTGCTTGGTAACTCTGAATTTACACAAATCTTGATTATGACAAGAAATGGGCTTCAAATCACAAGACTGACAGGAAGATCGCTGATGCTGCACCTGGCAGCACCACAGTTTTTGTGACGCAAGACGAAAACGGGGTGATTACTGTGTTTAAGTATGATAGAAATAAATTTTCATATGACACCAGATCATGTTTGTCCATTTTCATTTCTTGTGATGTACTCCATATTATAAGACAACAGTCAAGCTAGTTATTTGCCGCTAAAAAACATCACAGACCCTCGCTGATTACCTGATGGTTCAGAGATGTGTTTAAAAAAGGAAGGCTAAGAAAGGCAGGGCTTATTGTGAAGAGCGTAGGTTCAGCGATACTCAAAGTTCAGGTCGCAGTGAATATTTAAAAATATTGTGGGCTGATCTAAAGTAATACCTGGGCAGTTGTGAAATGCATACAATGTGAGCTATTGGGTAACATCACCAAGACAAAGGACAGCTCTAGTTGAGATGTTGGATTAAGTATTGACTTGATTAAACATTGTTTGCCTCATGCACTTCCTCTGTTGTATTCCCTCATATTTTCTGTCAATAAAATAACTATTTAACTACAAATTTGCTGAGACATTGGAAAAATGCCCAGCATATGATCATGCCTGTTTCAAGTAGATGTCTGACGAATTGGAAAGTGGAAACGCTGTACATCAGTATTCTATATACTGTAATAATCTTCCAGAACATTTCAAAAATACAGATAGAATATTGCGATGTTTCAAACTTGCGAGTTATTTTGTACTTTGCACAGAAGTGTTTCGCAAGCTATTTGGTTTATTACATAACTATTTGATTACTACAGAACTATTTACGTTTATCTGCATCATATTTAGTGAATGGGAGAGCCACGTCAGAACGACTCGTGTTCAAAGGGAAGAGTGAAGCATGTGGAATTAGAATAATTTGGTACTTTGCGTGAAGTACATACCAGCTTAGCTTCTTTTACAATCACAGTAAGATGTCTGATGTATTTCCTGCTATTAACATTCTAATAACTTCAAGTCTATACCTATAGATAGATTATACTCAACATTATTCATGGTTAAGCAAAAATGATCTCAAAGTCTGCAAACTGGTGTGAAACATTTCTACACTGAACGCACCACAGACGTTTTCATGATTGTCAAATGCAAGAAACTTGTGGAAAACATGGACAGAACACCTCAACCAAAACACATGATACCACACCAACTGTCAAGACTCTGCTTGAAGTACATTACATATCACTTCATTTGGGATAATGCTCTTGCACATACATTTAGCTGTTTGACTGAGAGAAGCTACATGAAACTGTCAAAGACCTCCAGTTTCATACCTCCACTTCTACTTCCTTATGCCGCGTTCACACCAAACGCGGCGCCGCCTTTGGTGTGAACGCACCATTACAACATGCAACTGCTCAGAATTGTTCTTTTTTTGTGCAATTCACTTTTTCCCCTGGATTGATATCTTTCTATGGTTCAAATTAAATAGTTTGACAGGTCAGATTGTCACCTGAGGAAGATGAAGATGGCTTTCCGATAAGAAACTCCATCCAGCTTGTCGTAGTAGTCCAGGTACGGCTTGATGCTGTGTAGCTGTTTCTTTAAATTGTGACCCTGTGGCTCTTCAGCCTGATGTGAAACATGCATCAGAAACAGTGACAGCAAGAAAAGTTCATGTTTTATTTGTGATTTTTTTTTTTGCCTGGTGTGTTTACAGCTGAGACGCTCGCTCGGGTTTGCTTTTCATTCACACTAACAATGTATTTCACAGTCCACCTAAAGCTCCTTCACTTGCAGGTGTACAAGCAATTGTACAGAAAACATGGAACATTTTTTTTGTTGTGGTTTCAAAACCTGACAGCAAACCATCAAGACTTTTGAGAACCAACAGAACATTTCCTTTCAAACTACGTATGACTTCCTCCTCTTTAAAAACTAAATATAGCTGGGTACTGTGCTTTCAAAGAAACATTTTAGCTGAGTTTTAAATCAAAAATAATTGGATACTCAACCACTGATATATATACAATATCATTAACATTTTGTTTTCTTAAATGTCTGCATTTTTTAAGAAGAAAAAAAGAAAAATCAAGTCTGGGCCCCGAGTTCCTGCACAGCGTCCGAATGCAGATACAGAGTCCCGTCACTGTGTAACTAAAATCATATCTGTAAATATTTCACTATGGACACATAAATATCAATTACAGTGCACATTACTCCTACATAACAGAATCCATTTGTAATGCATCATATAAATCTAATTAGACATTAAAAGTGTGTGGCTGCACTGCATAGAAAACATAGCTTGCTGATGTTCATTTTAATATGATACATAAACAGTTTTCTGTGTTCCGATAGTGACATCAAGGCCAGCGCTGACTGTCGATGAACTCAAGTGGACATAAGTGTAAAATAACTCAGTAGATCTTAAAAAAGAAATGGTGAAATTAAAAACGAATTAAGGCAGGTGTTTCCAGTAATCCATATATATGGAGTACACATTAAATAAAGAAAATGCACAACAGTGACATGCCATGGTTCTACTGACATCTTGTTGGTCATTAAGAAGCTCAGGAAACCAAAACCTCTTTTGAGACTCAAGCTGTTGCGCAACATGAAGTAGCCATCAAACCCCTTTAACACCTACAAAGGATAGCATTCCAGTCTTATTCATTCCATCCGCCTCCTGCATTCAGTGCAAACGATATGCAACATTGGAGAAGGCCCGATGAAGTCCTCCACTTGGCCACAGGGTCAAACAGAGAAACCACCACAGAGACCTCCTCAGAGTTCAGTCGGCCTGACTTCCTCTCTTTAGTCATTTGGCTGAGAGTTTTTTTCTTTTAAAAAAGTGCACATAGTGATCGAACGCAGCGTTCATCGGATGCCGACATTATGTGTAGTAGTCCAACTTGCTCGCTATCGTCTTGCAGCCTTTGACAGAGAACACTCTCTCACTTTTGGGGAAATAGACTACATCCCTGGCCACCTGGTCCGCCACTTTCTGTTCTGGCCGAAGTCCTCTGGCTTTCATCTCGGCCATGACACACTGGACGACGTGCCGGTCCTCCAGAGGCAGGAAGGGGACGAAGAAGTCCACCAGGTTCTTGTCGATCAAACTTGTGTGCCACAAGCCACCTACGGGAAGAGATTAACAGATCCTTTAGTCGGACAAGAATCAATCTATTTCATCAAATCTAGTTTCTGAACCATGACACCAAAGTATCCAGCAAAACAAGGAGGCATTCCTTTATTTTATACTCACTTCTCTTGTTGTTGAACACAGATAGAGACAGCACCGTTTCCAGATCTTTTAGCTCGAGCTCTTCTCGATCTCGTCCTGCTTTCCAGAAATCTAGCGCCGTCTCGATGATGCCCTCCCCTCCGGCATTGCTAGGAGGAAGATTAGAAACAGGGAACATATTACAATTTGCCTCTGATTGCAGCAGCAAAGGACTGTAGTTCTTTGTCCTCACCAAGTGAATCTCAGAAACATTGAAACGTTTAAACACAAAAGTGTTTCTTCATGTCACTGCTCTGTTGAGTTTTTAGATCATAGAAATACTAGCTTTCAGCCCCAACGCACCAAACTGGAACCAAATACATCTCAAAGGCTGCATTCAGGTGCAAAACGTTTATGCATTGAACGCACCGCAGATGTTTCCATTGTTCGCAAACAGCCTGAAAGACATCGTCAAAACGTCTCCTCGATAAGGGAATATAATACCACACCCATTGTCAACATTCTGCGAAAAATTACATTTAATATCACTAATTTTAGGATGTTTACACACATACATTTTGCTGTTTAACTGAGAGAAACTTAAGAAAACTGTTTCATACCTACACTTCTCATGTTGTTTTTCTTTCAGTACTTGCTATTAATATGGATCTATAAACAGACATGTGATACACTTCTGTTCCCTGGATTGATATCTTTCTATGGTTCAAATTAAATAGTTTGACAGGTCAGATTGTCACCTGAGGAAGATGAAGATGGCTTTCCGATAAGAAACTCCATCCAGCCTGTCGTAGTAGTCCAGGTACGGCTTGATGCTGTCAATCAAGCCAGGATGCATCTTGTCCATCTCATCAAAGATGAACATGGATCGTGCACAGTTGGAGACGTTGCCTCTGATCCACTGCTGTAGCTGAGTCTGAGGAGAAACAGCAGCATATTCATATAGAAGGCCGAATATAACAATGTCACTGTGGTTCAATTTAGAGTAACTGGATTCATCATCACACCTTGTAGGTATCAAAATGACTCAAATGTGGGAAGTGGAGTTCAGATGTGAAGATGTGAACGAAGCTGCTGTCCATTCCCTCTTTGTAAACATTGTCAGCGATCATCTGACTGACAAAGTTCTTCCCGGTGCCGGTCCATCCGTGCAGAGAGAGCACCAGGGGCTTCTTCGGGTTCTCGTTGCTCATGAATCCGGTCACAGCTTTCAGGATGATGCGTGACGCAATGTGCTGTCCGAACAGTTTGCTCTCCAGGTCAACCTCGAGACCTAGAGAGGGTACAGCACAAAGGCAACAAGGATTAGTGGCTGTGGACGAACTATGAGTTCCCTGAGAAAACCTCTCATTGTTCTGCAGCAGGGTCTGACAGTCCACCCCGCGCAGTCCTGGCTCCGGTTCCCCCGAGCCTCCCTTCCCCTCCAGCACCGTGGTGTTGTTGTTGACAAGCACTGAGAATAACTAAGAAGTAAAGGCCAATCTTCTCCTTGATGGTCTTGTTTGCTTAAGTAGGTCATATAGAGGCATCTTTATTAAATTGAGACCAGTTAAAAGTTCCTCACATTAACTTTAAATAAAGTACCTCGAAATTGTACTTGACTAAATACAGTACTTGAGTATATGTACTCCACCAATGGATGGAGGTGGCTGTTGTCTCAAAGGCCATTTCACACTTTGTTTGTTGTTGAAAGGAAATGTCAAAATATTTTACTCAACCGTTTAGGTTTCCGTTTTAACGGCGAAAACCGCTTCGAGCCATGACACTTTCACTGTCGTAAATGTAAATAATTAACGTTGCAGGTGTGGTTCCCTTTACCAAGTCGCGTTAAAACAAACTATATACGGAGTAATCGAACGTGCTGCACATTCTCACCTGTTGCATTGAAGTCGATCCATTTCGAATCACAACTTTCGTGTAAATAATTGTAGATCGTCCGCCCCAAAGTACCGAGACCGAGACCGACAACCATTGTTGTTGTGAACGGCTCAAACGTGTGTACGAGCACACCGGCTGACAAAAAAACATGGAGCAACAAATATAACCGTGCCGCGTTCATCGTCGAAATCAGCTAATTCCTGGAGTGGTTGTGGTTTGTTAAAACGACCATAACACCACCACCACGGGACAACCTGCGCTAGACCAGCTAGTTAGCTTCTTTTACAACCGGGAACTTCCGTACACGTCACAAACACGCGACAAACTCTGCTCAACACAAGATACAAAATGTTTGACAAGTTTGAATGGATAATAAAATGAGACAAAAGTATGACAATTGACTTTATACAAGTTTATACAATGTATGTAACCTACTTGTTTAGCTAACTTGCGATGTAAGAGATTTGGCGACCGTTAAACCCACTAACTGACATTAACGGTTAACGCTTAACGCTAGCTAACTTAACATCAACAAAGAGGGCATCACAAAATGTGGCAAATGTGTAATATGGATAACCACGCGTTTACCTGTCCTGTTAAAGGAAATCCACTCGGGTCGACAGCACTCGTGGAAATAGTAGAAAATGTTCTGGTAGCTGGCTAAAAACCCGGTCAGAGCCGCAGCCATTCCCACCGCTATGCTGGTGCTAATGGGCTCGATCGCCTCCGTTGAGCCGCCGGAGCAGACAAGCATCCACAGCAGGAGGACGTGTCTCGTCCTCGGATTCATTTCAATGGAATCTCCGCTTCATCAAACTTTAAGTCAGGCAAAAAGAAGAAGAAAAAGAAGGCAGTGTGACAAAATGTTTGCCAAAGCGGACTCTGAGTCAACACAGTACAGACTGTTGGCAGTTGGAGGCGCTGTGGTTGCCAAGCACACAAGGAGCCGACGTGACGTCAGACTCCAAAGGTGACGTTCACCTGAGAATAAATTAAGGCCCACTCGTTTTTTTTTTATTTTACTGTTTTTTATTGTCGTACATTATCCAAGATTTCCCTCAAGCTCTTTTTCTGCCACATAAAAATGTTAAAAAAAAATGTTTAATTAAGGGTGCTGTGTATGAACGAATGTCATATAGGAATTGTAATAGTGCAGAAAAATATTGGGTTATGTGGGGAAGGAATATTGCTCTTATAAGTGCTTATTACAAGTTTAAAAGTTATTTATTTGCATAGGCCATAATACTGAAAAAAATGTGCCCATGGAACTTCTAGCAGGTCAACCCGACCATGTCTCCAGCAACCACAGGCTTGAGTAACCCTGCTGCCTACCCAGTGCCTGTTAATTCAAAGATAGTGCACAAATCACATGGAGAAGATGTAACCTATTACTACTTAATGGTATCATACTTTTCCCCTTCTGTGAAGAAAGGCTTTTAAAAAAGTGATGTGAATATTATCAAAATCACACCTGCCAGTAGAGGGCAGTTGCACACTACAAAGAGGAGTTTGCATGTGGGCCAAATAAATTATCAAACTATACTTAAAGTACCAAAAGTATTCATATAGCAGAATAGCCCATTACAGAATGATATGATATTATTGGATTATAGCACATCAGTTTCCTTTTGCAGCTACATGTAGTGGAGTATAATAAGGTACAATATTTGCTAGTGGAGGTATGAAGTAAAGTACAAATACGTTAAATGTGTACTTAGTGCGGTACTTAGGTACTAAAGCTGATGTAAATTAGAAGTTTTGAAGATTTTTGGTTACATAGATATTTATCTACCTGGATTTGTAACTTATTGTAACTTACTTTTATCCGAGAGTTTTGTATTTGCACTCTTTGTATTTGCACTCTTCCCACGTTGCATTGCTGCACAGCAATTTCCCTCAGGATGAATTAAGTTTTATGTTATCTTAACTTTTATTTTATACATTTTATGTAGCATATTCATCCTGAGGGGGACTTGAATGACCTGTTTTAGATTTTGTATATAGATAGGATACATGTTAGAATAAGGGCCTTTCTAAACCATATTTGAAATGTCCCTTACCGAAATAAACTAAATGAATAATAAGATGTATAAAATAAAACTTTTCACTTGTATTTAAAGATTTGTGGTGTGGTTTGGTGGCAACCGGCTTGCACAGCTACATTTTTTATGATGCTGTGATTTAAAGCAACCAACATGCATATGAATACAGATCATTTTGCACAAGCATCATAACAATATCTAAATTGGAACCAGGATATAGTTAACAACCATTTAGAAGGGTGAAAGAAATGGTTGAATAACAACAGGAAGCTGTTCCCAAAGGAAAAGGAGCTGCAATAATAAAAGCACCTCCCCTCTCTTATCTTTGTCCCTCTCTGCTCCGGACTTATCAAGACTGTACCACCCACACTTACATTGTCCTCCTCAAGCTTCTATCAATATAACAACATTTGGAAAGCAATGCATATACCTTTGGATCAGTTTTGGAGGAAGAATGCATCCAAAGAGACAAATATGAAGCCACTTGACACTGAGTGGGTTGAGTAAGGTTGAGTTAGCCCAATTCTCATAGTAGAGTATGGGGCAGGTTTAATTTGAAGATAAAAGAGCTCTGGAGAAAGTAAACATGTCACACTCTGTCACTGAACCAGAGGTTTTAAATCCACTCAGAGCAAAGGGGAATAATGTGTTGCAGCTTTGACATTTCTAATTCAGTACTGGCCAACAGTCACTCTTGACCCACTTTATATATGGGGAGTTTGTCCTCTATAGCCTGGGCTAGGTCAGGAACTGCTGCTGCGGCCTTTAAAGCCTATTGCGGGCTTATTATATGCAATATCGGGTCATAAATACCACAATCTTGACAGGCCATGACTTGATATATTTGAAATGGCTGACATTATTTTGACAATATGAGGTAATGCACTCTTTTTGTTCTGAGTCATACGGTCATCATCTCTGGGAACCTTTTTATTCCATAATTGTGTTTTTACTCTCCGGATCAGGCTCGTCAATAAGAGAGCATATAGTTTATCGGTACCAAATGTTTCCTCCAGTAACTCACCCTCTTTGCAGCCTCTGTAGCCTCTGGCTCTGCTGGGTTTTGGCACACTTTGAGGATAGCATGTGGGTGGTGACACAGTGTAACCAAGAACAGGTTTGAAGCTAATCTTCCAATAAAAAAACTACATAGGCAAAATAAAATGTCTATAAAGAGATAGACTAGCAATGAGAGGGCAGCCTTGTTATGGGAAACATTTCAAAGGGAAAAGTTCAACTCAAAATCAAAAATATATGTTCGTTGTCTGACCTGTTGTACTAATTTTCAATCTAGATAGTTTTGGTGATATCGACCATAAAAAAGCTCCTACATGAAGAGTTTTTCAATGTGTTTTTTTGGCACTTTCAGCATCATAAGCTCAGTGCACATAGTCCCCGTATATCGAGAGAAGGCAGACATCTCATCGCCGGAATCTCCAAAACTATACAGGCAACTCACACCAAAACAATCTAGATTGATAAATAGCACTCAAGGGAAGAGGGATAATATGTAGGTGTAAAGTAGGTAGGTGAAGTAAAGAGCAGTGATAAATTTGAAGCAGGCTTTATATACTTTATTTTACATCTCCCACCATAGCACTCTGACTTCCAGCCTTCGCGGCACTAACTCCTGATCAGGATGGTGGTCATTAATCTGCCAACACAGACTGTCTCAGGAGGCACAAGGCAAACAAAGGACCTTCGTTTTCTGCTGCTGCTGGTGTTTTTCCTTCCTCTCATCCAGCCTGTCATTGTGGCCGCGTGTCCTTCCTGGTGTGTGTGGACGGGGTCAGATGGTTTTCCATGTGTTCCAGGATCAGGGCTCTTCCTGGAGTTGCTCAGGATGGCTCTTCGGGGAGGGGGAAAAGGCCCAGCGAGGGGACCGTGACTCCTGACGAAGCCCAGACTCCCTCGTGGGCCGAGATAACTCTGAGGGAAAGGAGGGATTTGAGCTTGATAATGCTGTGAGAGCTGTGAAAAAAAGTGCAAAAAAAGCTTGAAAGCAGCCCTACGCCTGTGTTATCTGTTAGCATCTGCACAAGCACTTTTGGAAAACAAAGTTCTCAAATTTCTTTTTGTTTTCCAAGAAATTCACTGAGCGACAAACTTGAATGAGATTCTATTCCTTTCATGACTTTAGGCTAGAACTGTATATTCATTTATTAATCACCAACATTTTAAGTGAGCATCAAGGCTCATTCTTGACAAAAATGTTGAACTCAAAGTTCACTTCTTCAGCTATACCCAACGCTTTCATTTAAATCCCCACAGCTGCTCACTGAAGAAGGCCATAAACCTTCATTTTGAAATAATGAAGATTATTAAAACTGATGTGAGACTATAAATTGTCCTAAGTGTGTTTGATGTGGATGAGAATCCTCTCTTGTTCGTACACATATCGCATATCAGTGTTGCAACATTGTATGAGAAATATGTTTAGTCTGACACTCAAATTATATTAAAATACGTGATTTGAAAGTCGGAACTGCTTTGGAAGAAATGTGAACCGGCTGCTCAGCTGAAAGAGTACTCCAGACATTTAGCATCATATTTCAGTAAAGTTAGGTTAAAGTTCAAGGATTTGCAAGAGGCAGATTTAAGAGTCTGTAGCATGTGAGGCTGTACTTAAGTAAAGCAGCTCTTTGAGCTAAATGCGAAGGTCTGCGTGCTAACATTCTGATGTTTAGCAGGAATAATGTTTGTTTCTCGACACCATGAATGTTGGGACCAAAAATCACGGCAATCCATCCAGTAGCGTAGTTGTTAAGATATTTCAGTCAGAACCAAACCATTGCCACGATTCCCATCTCTAGAGCCAACAAAGAATGGTGAGAATAGATGTATTTACAGGGATGAAAGTTAATTGTGAAAATGTATTGTGACATAGCACAAGCTGTAAGTGTAGTCTCTTAGGTTTGTTGTTTTCTAAAAAAGATGAGTGTATACAGTGTAATGCAACAGGCATTCCCCCCACTAACTCTAGGTCCTGACATGTCTGGGCATCTACTCAATGACGATCAAGTGGGAAAGAATAACTGAGTAAAAATGTCTATTCACTGTGGATGTTGGAAAAAGATTTGACGACTTAGACGGAGCAAAATATTTCGTTTGTGTTAAGTTGTTTAACTCTTCTGTTACCAGGTGGGAAACTCGTATCTTTGAGCCTGAGTGGAGGTCTTTTATTCCCACTCATTTCTCCAGAGTTGGTTCATTCACTGGTTAAAGAATGGGAGAAGGAACTTGTGGAGGAGTTGGAGCTTTAAAGGGGGGAAACAGAGGGGCCAGGTCAACCTCTAATCTCATTATGAACATAGGGCACTGGCACCACACACTGACCCCCACTCCCCTTCTGTTCACCTCACCTAACCCTAGCCTTAACCCCCCACCCTGTTGCATCTCACACTGGCAACGTCAAGAATCAAACCAGGGCCAAAGAGCATTCCTGTGAAGTCAACAATGAGAGAGATCAGGCGATCGGAGACTTCACTGGTAA